GCAATTTGATACAAATAAAAAGAAACAAAGAAAAGGGAGGAAAGAAAAAAAAAATCATACAAACGTGAGTGTAACTCGACTGACTTGAAACAAAATTCGGCAGAGTAAATATAGTTACTCTGTAAAACGAAATAATACCGAGCTCACTGGTTATACTTATACGTTTTACAGGTAGAACGTTTTTGAATCGTTCGTGTGAAGTTACAATTGATAAAGTTATTATACGTAATAATAGAATCGACGAGATATTAATAAAACGACGTAATACGTTGCACTTATTCATTAATCATTATTTATCTAATATTCGCATCAGCAGCTAAACTGCTCCGCCTTACACATATTTGCTACTTGTATTCATAGGAAAAGAGAAACGAAACTCGATATGCATCGTATTTACTACGTGAACTGTAGGAAAGTAATAGAAACGTCTGTGCGAAGCCGTAACTTTATCTTCTATGCCTGTCCCTTGATCTGTCCCTGTAGGACAACATAAAATTTTATTAGATTAAACATACAAAAGCGAGTCTTGAAGAATTTATCGATAACCGTTCGATACTTTTTACGGGATCACGTGAAGGAACACATATAATAATCAGAAATAAAATAAATAAACACGGGAAAACAAGAAAAAAAACTGAATAGATTGAAAGAGATATACATGTCTACGACCGATGCAGTGGATTTACAAAATTTGGCATGGTGTGTCGAAAAAATAGCTGCTACGACATTAAGGCTACCAATTATAATCAGACTACCTACCTTGTGATTCGACGTCTGTCTAAGAAACTAGGTGAACCGTGACGCCGCGGTATAGATGGAGATCGAGATCTGCTAGAAGCTGAACTACTTGATGTTGAACGAGAGGACCTGCTAGAAACACTGCTCGATGATCTCGATGAACTAGAAAAACTTCTACGGCTGTGCCTTGAACTGAAACAAAAGAAACGATCGTTTAATGTTCGAATCATTCCAAACAGAATATATATCCCAAGCGTTATCGTTCGATTGCTTCTTTTCTGTTCGGAATACTCATTAGTATATTCACCTTAAAGAAGAACGCGAACTGCTTCTACTACGACTTCTTTTCTCTTTGTCCCGTGATATCCTGGACACCGACCTTGACCGGCTTCTCGACTTTTTTGATAGAGATCGACTTCTGGACTTTTTTGACAATGACCTGCTTCGAGATTTCTTAGATAAAGATCGGCTTCTCGACTTTTTCGACAGCGAACGACTCCTGGACCTTTTAGACAATGACCTGGTTCTACTTCTGGATCTTGACTTCTCCGGCGAATGAGAGGGAGATTTCTTAGAGCGCGACGGTGACCTGGACGCGGAGTGCTTCGATTCCGAAGAAGATCTTGACCTGGTTACTCTTTTCGTTCTTGCCGGAGATTTTGGTGATTTTTTCGGTTTCGACGGGGACACGGATGATCTATGTCTAGGAGACGCTGACTTTTTGCCTCTCGACGGAGAACGTGACTTCTTCTCTCTTGATGGTGATCTTGAACGACGCCTGGGAGATCTGGAAGACCTTTTCTCTGGTGATACTGATCTTGTGTAAGATCTGGAACGTGACCTGGAATAGGACTTATCTCTTGGAGAATGCTTCCTAGAAGCAGGTGAACTCTTCTTTGAAGTGGTTGGAGAAACGGACCGCTTTGACTTGGCCACGTTGCTCGGCATCGGTGGCGGGGATTCACTCGGCGAACGTAGCTTTATGGGCGCGTCTTTGTGAGAGATCGGTGGTGAATGCGACGACGACTTGCTCTCCGATGAATTCTTCCGTAACAGAACCGGTGAATTCTTCTTCGTGACGCTTGGAGACTTTGAACGATGATTCGTCTTACCCGCTGTACTCGGTGAACTCGAGTTTATTTTATTTAACGTTTGCGGTAACGGAGGAGGAGACTCGCTAGGCGATCGTATCTTTATAGCTGCCTCTTCTCGCGTTAGCGGCAATGCCGGTGAAGGTGATCTACTCGATACAGGTGACTGAATAGCAGGTAGATGCGATATAGGTGATTTCGACTTAGACTTCTCCTGTATGGGACCAACAATGTTTTGTACCATTTTCGGTGGATCATTTGGTAAAGCAATATCGAGTACACTATCTTCTTTCTTCTCCACCTTTACCTTTACGGGGCTTATCACTTTCTTTCCGATGGATTCTCTAGCCTTTGCCGCTAATGTAGTTTGTAAACGTTTCAAAGTATGCAACACCTTCAGCCTTTCCTCGTCTTCCGGTTTTGGTTCGTCATCGGCTATGTCGGTTTCGTCCTCGCTGGAAGAACGTAACCTCACTCTCGGCGTGATCGTTCTTATCTTTCTAGTTTTAGAGCTCGATCGAGACTTCCGTTTGTTGTCATGGTTCTTCTTTTGATCCCGTTTCTTCTTGTCCTCCAGAATGTGTTTGTACCGTTCCGGGTTCTTTCTCACGGGTGAGTAGCTCAAGGTGGATCGTCTAGATCTGCTTCTGGTCCTGCTACGGCTTCTGCGGCGTTCCCTTGATCTTTCTCGTCTGTCTCTTTGCCTCCTGGGTGATCTTGATCTCCTTCTAGAGTCAGATCTTCTGCGTCTAGGCAGAGGCGACGGTCTGCGTCGTGATCCATAACGGTCGTACCTCGATCGACTTCTGCTTCTGGATATAGAGTATCGGTTGTATCTCCTAGGAGACCTAGACACTCTTCTCCTTCTTGGCGAGGGACTAACACGCCGTGATCTTGAGTATCTTCTGGGTGATCTTCCTCTATCGACCCTACTCCTCGACGGTGATCTGTGACGCCTCGGTGGACTTTTATGGGCAACCGGGGATTTCTCCCTCTTTTCAGGAGCAATCTTTTTAACGGGGGAGTCTTTCTTTTTTGGAGGCGGAGTCTCGTTTCGACCTTTCTCTTGCTTCTTTGGGGATCGATTCGACCGAATCTCTTTAGCAGTGTTTTCTGTTTCGTCATTTTTTGCTTTTTCTGCAGCTTTATCGTGTTTCATAGACTTTTTCGGCCTTTCCGGGGAGCTGAAAATATTACGTCAGGATTTTTATTTATTTATTTATTTATTTAGTTGGTTAAAATGTAAAGACGTGCATTTTCTTAACGTACCTGTCTGATGAGCTCTCAGATGACTGATGCTTCCTCTTGACAGCTGCTTTTTTCTTCTAAAAGAAAAACAGTATAGATTACTAGTTAGACAAGGTTGGCTAGAGAACATCAATCATGCATATGTATTTGTCAGTAGGATAAAAAAAGATGTTGCAAATGTTGAGAAGTTTTCCGGAGTCTGCTCATTCGCTCTAATATATTCAACAAACAGTTTGAAATGTATGCAATGTTTACGGTAAAAGTTTTCAAACAAAAATCAATAAAACGAGATCACAAGCTAATGTGTGAGCGTTGTATGTTACTAATTTCTTCGCATTGCACCTATGCCAGAGAACAAGCAGTCTCCCATTAATTATATCTCGTAAATGTGATGGTGCTTGACACAAAACGAGTGAAAAGGCAACAACAATCGCAAGTTTTGTACGAATATAAATCACAAATTATTATTACATTGAGTAGCGGCATATCTGGTACTCACTCAGGGAATATATCCTGTCAAATGGCGCTGATAATTACAAACAATACTGAGATTTACACTTTTGAAATAATGACTGTTAACTTGAAATCAGATAAAAATCTTTACAAAAACAAGCAATGAATCATGCTTATTCAAAGGTAGGCAGCAACACAAAATTTTTGACAACTCCAATGTTTAATCGACAACTAATCGAGGGAGAAATGAACGCAAAATAGATGTCGCATGCTCCTGCTTCACGTGCTAAGGTATATATATATGGAGATATATAGTTATAAATATGTATATGTATGTATAAAAATAGACAAGAAGATAGAAATTTCATATCTTTGTCCTTCCCATTATTTTCCCTACCTCATGCTTTTCTTTTGCCTCTGCTTTGGACTTCTTCTTCTTCTTTTTCTTTTTCTTCTTTGACTCAGTTTCTGACGAACTGTATAATACAATATAATCACGTCAAAACATAAATTTATAAATATACTTCTTCGTACAGATTTGAATTTGTACAATTACCTGCTATCATCCGAAGCTTCACTAGATTCGCTATCAGAGGAACTAGCCTCAGCCTTCTTGTGCTTTTTCTCCTTTTTCTTTTTCTTAGACTTTTCTTTTTTCTTACTAGCCTTTGGAGATTCCGACCTAGGGAACACATTCAACA